CTGGAATGTAATATGCATTTTGTTTTTGAAAGGCAGAATGAAGGAAGAAAACCCGTTTCCTTGTAGCAAGTAACAGTAGCAGCAGCCAGGGAACCGAGCCTGCTCGTTGTTCTTCTCCCAGCGGATGGCTGCAGAGTTTAATTTTGGTGTCACTTAGTAAGCAGCAGACCCTGCCCTCATCGTAAATGCCCACATATAATGCACTTTCCAAATTCCATTATCTGGCTTTTGGGGAAAAGGTGAGTGCTGTAGGTGAGACATATGGTATTTGGAAGGCTTTTATGGAGTAAAAAAAAAAAAAGCATGATATAGAAACACCCTGGATGTTTGGATATGCATCTAGCTGGGGTCATCTAGACCCAGCGCTCTTTCCTGCCTATGCAGGGGATCGGACTCGATGATCTATTGAGGTCCCTTCCGACCCTAACATCTATGAATCTATGGAGTGGCCAGCAGTTCCTTGGGAGGGGCCCTCACATGGAAGAGAAGATTTGGGCTCAAGTCCCTTTTCTGAATCAGGAAAACAGAGACTTGTCCTCAGGTGCCTACATCCCAGCCATTACCTTACTCCTTGGATCACTCATTATTCTTGAGTGGGGTGAGGTTGTCTAGGACTAAAGAAACCCTCTCATTTAAAATGTTATCAAAACCAGTATGCTTCTGCGGACATATTGTTCTTTTTAACTTGGCATTTTCTGATGAAAAACATCTTTGGTTGAAAATTTCCTGGCCACTTAAATCTAATCCTGAGAAAAAAAATAAGCCTTCATTTCTATAAATAACTTGGTGATGGGTCTGACCCAAACCCCAGACGCCGCAAAACTTTGCATCAACCCTCCTCCAAAGCTCAGGGTGGTTTTGGGGGTCCCTTCTTGGATTAGCTTGCACAAAGCCAAGTGACTGCTGGTGGCCAACAATATTACATGAGTGGATGTATGAGGGGCAGTAAGATTGATTTTGCATACGTCATGTCCGTGTTCTGCCTTAAAGGCAACATTAAGGGTTATACTGGGGGGGGGAGTTGTGTGCCCTGACACAAGTGCAGCTCAGGAGGGGATGAAGGCGATTAGGGACTATTTGGATTCAGCTTGGGGTTTCTATCCTCATTGAACACCAGCAATTACAGCACCTTGTTTTCTGTCAGTGTAACACGTTCAAATCCGACGGAGTTCATAGCCTGCACAGTCGGTGTCACAACAACAAGTGTGCACCCGGCACTCGCACAAACAAGAATATGGCTATAAAATACGAGCGTGCGGGGGAATGGCTCGGTGGTCAGGAGTGGGGGAGGGCAGCAGGGTTTTGCTGCCTTCTGAGTTGAACGCATGCTGCGAAATTGCCCTGCTGCCAGCTTGAAATAGCAAGTCAGATGACTGGCTTTTGCAAGCAGCGTTGAGGAGTTGCTTTTCAGCCAAATTGCTGAACTTTTCAGGGTGCTTAAAAGGTCAGTTCACCATAGCAACCTTGATCTGTAATAAAGTAAAAAATGTCGACTTTGGGTTAAAGTCATGGTTTAATCGCTGCAGCGAGCGGTGAATGGAGAGTCAGCCATTTCCTTCGCTCTCCCTGCGAGTTTCTGTTCAAATGGCTGGCAGTGCAGATCCTGTAGCTGACTCTTTGCAGCCTCTATTCCTGCGGCACCGGCTGTGACATGCCTATACCGTGGGGCACAGCCTGTCAGTGCTGTCGCTGAGAAATCCAACCGCCCATTTCCTTGCTCCAACTACTGAGGTTCGTATAGTGAAAACCATGAAATGCCCCTTGGGCTATAACTGGGCTCTCATTAAGGAGGGGGAGGGGAGGAAACTCGAGCAAAAAAGGCTAAGCTAGTTGACAGAAACCGATGCCCTTCCAAGTAGTTTTCATCACCTCTCCAGCTCGACAGAGCACTTTACCTGTATGGGGAATTTGCCTTTCAAGGGAAGTCTGGGAATTAGCGTAGCCATGTCACTACGGCCCGCCGATCTAGATGAGGAAAGCCCCACTTTGAATTTTGGCCGATTTCAAGCCGTAAATTTTACCTTGTTTTTTTTTCTCCCTGGGCCTCTCTCTCATGTGTTTGCATAATGGGAACCCGAGTCCCAGATTGGCACCAATCTGCACAAATTGCTATGACATTACAGGGTGAAAATCAGGATTGGCCTTTCCCTTCCTCCTCCTCTTCCTGCCACCTTCTCTCCCCACCTCTGCCCTGTCCTGTTTGCAAAATCTGGCATGTTATTCATTTAAAATACACCCTGCAGCCTGACCAGCTGAACAAGCCGCCAGCCCGCAGCGTCAGCAAAGCAAACAGCAGGCAGGCTTTGTGCACATAGGCTTCCCCCTCACCGGTCTGGTTGCACGTTCACAGCCTGCCCTCTCAACCATGCAATGGCCTTGGCTTTACTTGGGTGTCTTTGCACAACCCTGCACGAATCCATTAGCCTGGCATTTTACTGGGCCAGATCCCACTGTTGCAAATGGCATTTTGAGCAAGCGCAGCATATTCACATTAGGTGTTTGCCCCAGGGGCTCTGTCCTGCTGCCAGTCTCCCCCGTCTTGCTCCGAAAGGGTCTGCATAGCTTTGACCACTACCAGCTGCTTCTGAGGAGTCTTCTCAGGGCTGCCTTTGCAGGGCTTCCACCAAGGAGATCAGGGCAGCAAATGTTGCCCTTGCTTTTAGTTGCCCAGCTCAGAAAAGATGCAAAGGATTTTCAAACACTAAAATAGGAAGTGTGGAGGGAATTTATGGAGCAAAGAATAGATTTTAACAAGCCTCCACCTGAACTGGGAGTCATATTTTAGCTTAACAGTGACACTTTCATGTAGGAAGTGTTCCAGTTTTGTGCCTTTTTTTTTTAAAGTGCTGTAAGGTGTAATCTCAGATGAGATAAAGGAAAGGGAGAATTAAATCAGAGTGGCTCCTAAAGAAATATCTCCAGCCCTTAAAGGAAGTTCAATAGCACTGGCTCAGCTTATATTGCCAATGAAACAGCAATTCACTTCCAAGCCACTACCAGATTAAAACAGACTTTCCAGCTCTCTTTGTGCCCAAAGCAGTTGGATGCAGGATTGCTCTTACTGGTTGCACAGTGTTGCTTTAGGCTAATATCTAGATGGCATAAATTATAAGGCTACAACCAGGCTGAGCTCAAAAAAGAAAAAAATCAGGCTTTAAAGACTGGTCAAAATGATTACTGAGCACACAGAGCACAAATGAGCCAAGCCACAGTTTGGCTACTTTTTTTTTAAGGCCTTGTTCATTAGCCTTTTGGCTCTTCAGCTATTTCATGCTTTCTGCCTATGCTAAGGCTAAGTTTAGTGAACTTCAGGGCACACTTGATCTGAGCCGACAAGAGGCTGAGAAGCGACTTGTCTTTCTGTGGGAGATGCCCAGTGCTTCGATTGGAGGTGTATCTTTTTTTATTAGGCTGTGGTTCCTTACTTTTTCCTCTCTCTGTTCATATTGTATGTTTTGTTTCAATAATTGTCGGGAGTATTACTTACACCCAAGATAGACAGTTCTTTACAGTTCTTATGCATCTAAAGAAAACAGGGTTAACAAATCATCTATTCAGTGAATATTGCCTGTCTTTCCAGCCATGAATCATCTGTGAAAAGATGGCGACATTCTCAAATGTATTGGTTTGAAGCCATCTGCCAAGTGATTTATGTAAATCTTGGTCTGCAGCTCATTCAAAAGCAGTTTGTGATTATTCAAAGTATGACCTGTTTTGGCTAGGATGCGAGGCTCGCATGGTCTGTTCGGGTACGTGTTTGTATTAGACCCAGGGCTCTAGTGCACGTGCTCGTGCTCGTGGTGACACCGTCAACATGTGCCTGCAGAAAAATTGCAGTCTTCATGCATCCAGCCAAAAAAACCCAGCTGGGCTCCAACTACAGGGCTAAGTTGTACGATGGGCCTTGTACCTACAGTCACTGGAGTCGATAATAGTGTCATCTCCCTTAATGGGTGCTGTTTTCATGCCTGTGGATCTCTGTGCAAGTGTGAGTTAGTCCGGCAGTTGTATTATACCTCTTGCAGGATCTCCAAGCATTTCACAGTAAGTGGCTTAGAATAATTTACAGAATGGGAGGTGGGGGAAAGAGGCACATGCAGATTAGTTACTTGCCCAAGGTTTTGTAGCAAATTAGTAGCAAAAGTAGGAATAGATTCAGGCCTTGGTCTTACACATCCCCCCCCCCACCCCTTTTTCTAATCACGTTGAAAGACCTGCGTTCAGTTGAACATCCCTCATTTTCCTGAAGTGCTGAGCTATAAGCATCTGAAACGGTATTTAGATCTGAAAGCAGAAGAAACAAATAGGCAGTAACTTGCACTTAGCACTTAGATGGAGGCTTTTCTATTCCATTTCTCTATCTGTTGCTGACTTTAAACCTTCTGTTCCCTGCTTAGCTGTACTGTGCCAATCACTTGCGTGCTGCATTACCCAGTTTTTTATGTGCTGTTACTTAAGAGCTGCAATCTTTTGGGCAGGAGAACCGAGGGAGGGCATTTCAGAGCGAGAACACTCTGGGAGATCTTGAACGAGGGAAGGCTATGGGGGCTGGATGATTGATGGAAGAAGCAGCCATCCTAAATACAAGCCTCAAAACAAAAGCTGGAAGGGTGAAATGAGCAACTCGAGCATAAGGAAATAGTGGACATGAATAATTCAAACAATTTGCAGAGGAAAAAATCTATAGGAAAAAGTCTCTCAAACACGGCAAGTTTGTAGGCGGGATGGGACTTGTCAGGGGGTGTCTGGACCACTGCAGCAAGCAGGTTCAGGGTGAGCCGCACTGTAGAGAGGTGCAAAATTAATTAAGGAGAAACAGCTGGCATCAAAAATGGAAGCTGGACAGTAAGAATCAAGATACTTGAACTTAGACACTGGCAAAGTTGTGCTGGGCCTTGAAGGGATGATGTAACGTTTAATTTTAATGCAGCTGAGAGGTGAGCCCTGGAGCCATGTGAGTTTAGTGGTACATGCCAACCACTGCACCCCGTGCACTCACTGATATCGAGAATAATTTTTTTTTCCTGTTGCATAAACAGAGCGCTCCAAGGACAGACCCAAGTATCCCAGGTATGTCAATCAGCAGGGTCTGTTTGGGACAGGGGGAGAGATCTTGCCGCCAGACTTGTAGTCATTCCTACGGGGAGCCAAGCCCTATCACTAACACCAACCGGAGCAGTTCTCTCTCCACCTCCTTTGTTAGCACTGAATGCTCTCGCTTGTGGTCGCTCTTCTATAAAATACCCTTTTTCTTTATGTTTTCCCCCCACACTTGGGGTCCAGCCCTTGAATTCTGAGTTAATAGACTGTACCCCTAAAGTAGTCACCTTGCGTGTTCCTGGGTGGGGTGGTTTTTCTGTTCCCATGGACACAGACTTGGGGTCTGGAGGAGGAAACTAGTTTGCTCCATCTCCGACTTGAAACGGTATGTGTTTATGGTCAGCAGAACACAGAAAGATTTTTCTCCCTAGTAGATCCAACCTCCTTTTTTAAGAAGAGAAAACTGAGTTTCTCCAGCAATCACTGCACCTAAGAAAACAAGTCTACAACTTCTCCCCTCCAAGAAAAACCCCTTTTGAAATAATCCCAGTGATTAACATTGTTGAATTTTTAACACTGCCTATGTAAAGTGAATGCTACAAAATAAGCTTAACAGGGTTGCTTGAATAGGAATTTCATCCAAGGCCAATAAGAAGTAAAGTTACATAACCTAGTAGGTCAGAGCTCTAACTAAGCCTTTTATAGGCCATAAATCCACATTTCCTGGATTTTATAGCTTCTGTAAAAAAAAAATAAAAAAAATACTATGTGACTGGAATAAGCTGCAAAGTCTATAGTCCTTAAACACAAATACCATGCTCCAAAGAGCCTTGACTGCCCCCTGAACTACTGACATTTAAGTAGGTACATTGTGATTTTTCTAGAACCGATGGCTCTTTCTCTGACTCCAGAGGATTTGAAACAGGAAAGTTGAACGGTAGGATGACAGCCGTAAACAACAGATTTGATCAAAGCTGGACTCCATCGTAGAGAGACCTGGAAAATGCACAGAGAAGCAGGTATTTGTGGTCTCACTTCAAATAGTGTGTGAACCTGCAGCATTTGGTCTCTGATGGTTAGATGCTTTTCATGGTACAGGTAGTTGACTCAGTATCTTGAAGTTATTTAAAGGTTTCAGTGTCCAATAGCATTGTCTCTTATGGGCCACTTTGGGATACTTGATTGTGAAACCTGACACAAAACGTATATTATCTCATACACCGATTCAGGGATTATAAAAACAATTTCCTTGGTAAGTGTAGCCACAGGAAGAACCAGCATAAACTTTGTCACCTCCTGGGCTGCAGCTTCTTATCAGGGCTGCTAGAGTTGAGTGAAAGCAAGCTTCATAATCCGAACAAGGAAAACTACTGGATGGTGTGAGTGTATGGGCAGGCAGGTGGGAGAATCGGACTGGAGGCACGGGAGAGTTGCTGCATTTGGGGACCACTGGGAGTGTAGCTTTCCAGGTACCGTGTAGCTTTCCAGGTACCATGGCAAAGAAGCCAACTCAAGCATAGTTTCTAGCTTTTCAGTTTTGTGCTCAGGAGCATCAGTGGAGCCTCCCAAAAAAGTGACACCAGGTCAGTGACCTCTCGACTCTAGAATCTCAGCCTGACACATGTTATAGTGCAAACTGGGACTGCTCCAGTGCCTAAAGGTAAGAGTCTGTTTAGCTTTCTCTGAAGTTTAAACATAGCTCTCCAAGCATCAGATCAGCAGAGAGAAGCAGAGAAATATGGTTTACGCTATGTAGACTATTAGCTGGCTTAGCTGGGGTTATTGGCATCAGTCTTGGAAGTGGTGTTTGATCTGCCTTCTATGCAAGAGGAAAAAATGAAGTAATGAACATTTTAAATGTAAGGAGCTCTGGTGGGCACTGGACGTGATTCTTGCATTTCCCATTCCTGTCTGTCACTTCTTTTTTTTTTAGATTGATGATACGATTTATTTACAACTGCATGCCTTCTTGTCTCCCAACTGATAAGAATTTGCTTTGATCTACTCTGCAAGTTTTCTGTACTCTTTAGTTGGTATCAGTTGAGGCCGCTCTGGGAGACTCCGACGCAGGACAACAATCAAAATGTGAAGTCCTGAATCCCTCTTCACCGTTCTCATTACGTGAGACGGGACCAAGCTGAAACTTTTGTCTAGCCAAGTAGGCAGCGTCACTTCGTGCGACAGACTACAGATAATAGGTGCACAGGTTGGAGGAAGAGTGAGAGCAAATACGGTACATTCTCATTATCAGACTGACATACAGCCATCATTTCCTTTGCTGAGGTACTGTAGAGATAGAAAGCTCATTTGATCATCCTGGAGCTTTATGGTTCTTTAATGACTTTCTTTCAAGGAACTCCAAGCACCTCCAGAAAAACCGTCTCATATAACACCCAGGTGACATAGATCAGACTTATTACCATTGTCTTCCAGATGTGTTAGGCAAGGAAGACACGGGTGAAGTAATCTTTCCAAGGTAACAGTGGATCAGTTGGAAAGCCAGGAATAAAATGCAAGAATCCAGAAACCTAATTTTCTGATCTAAACTCCCCTTCTGCTGCTGACCCTGACAGCTACGGAAGACTATCCATCTGACATTTTTTTAGTTCAGAATATTTGTCGGTTTTGGTTGACAGGTTTTTCCTTGTCTGCTAGAAAATGTTGCCTAATGGGACGGTGCTGGGTGCACAGTCATCAGATCTGAATAGAACATCTTTATACAGCCATTAAAATGGGTATTAATACTGATTACTCTCATGCAATGTACTGAGGCAGTGTTAATTCACAAAAGAAGAGAGAGAGAATATTGGGGCAGATGTGCTCTTTTCATTCTGGACCTTAAATCTCAGCCTAGCGTAATCCAGAGGAAGCAGAAGAGAATTTTCCATGTTGAGAGGATGACCAGCGTGTGTTTTCTAAAACAATCAAAGCTTTTGTTTTATTTGGGCAAGCCATATGGAAAGACCACGGCTTCTTCCAAAGCCTCAACACCTACCAGTCCAATTAGAGCCGTGTCAATCTTTGTGAGAGGCCATATGGAGGAGTTATTTTCTGCAGAATGCTAATGAAGAGCATTTGCTGAGATAGTAGGCATGTGATTTCTCTTATCTAGGAAATAGCTTTAAATGAGGGTGGATAGTTCAAACTAGTCATTCCACTTGACAGGTACACACACATTAATAAAGCAGGGTGAATGCTCTAACAGTTCAAACTGAGCCTTTCAAAATAAGGGTTGATTTGATGACCACTGGGGGGGAAAAAGGCCCTTTAAAATCCCAAAATCAGGCAAGCCAAAATCATTAGTCACTTTTGAAAACCTTTGCCTAATGGTTTTTAACCCAGTTCTCGTGCTATCATCTGGAAGTACTGTAGCTACAGAATGAGTAGCATTTATTCAGGCTTTCAAAAGAAAGCAGAAACCTAAACTGTATAAATCAGAGCAGATATTGTTTTCTGGAGTTGTTAAAACATCTGGACTGTTTGTTTGGGGTTTTTTTAATCAAAAGCCCCTCTGTGAACATGACTACACCTATTTCATTCCTGGGCATCAAAACCTGTTCCCGCATATACCATATGTTTAAGCCAAAACTTTTCAAACTTGAGTACCTACACTGCATTAAATAAAAGTTTCCAGGTTTTTTTTCCCAGAGATATTGAGAACTCCTAGATCCCAACAAATAGTAAGCAAAGAGAGCTTCTGCCTTAAATATCTCACAATCTAATTTGATTCCAAGTATCCTGTGCAAGTGTCAGAGCATTTTCTATGTTGAAAGGATTTACTGATGTGCTTGCTAAAAAATATTAAGCTTGAAAAGTCTTTTTTTACTTTAATTGTTTTGGCGTTTTTTATGTGCCAAAAAAATCAAACATAACCCCCATCCTACATGATATATGACATGGACTACCGCTCTGTAGAAGAAAAGTGGAAGGAATAAGTTGCAACGTACAAGTCAGATCACAAGATCTAGCAGTTCTGTTCCAGCTCCATGGCCAACGCATGGTCAGTCTCTCTTGCAACACGAGAGAGACTGGAAGTCCCAACTCATGGGTCACCTTTTTGGGGAGATTTTGCCAAGGCCCGGTAGAGCTCCCTCATAGTCAGCTCAATTTCCTCTCTCCTGAATTCATTATATAATTCATAAGGTGCATATTCCATTAGGCCAGTGGTTCTCAAACTTTTTTTTTTCGCAGACCATTTGAAAATTGCTGAGGGTCTCGGCGGACCACTTAATAAAATTTTTTGTTCTACAAATCAAAGCACACAACTTGTATTTAAATTAATTTGTATTTAAATATCAGTTGTCTTACCTTTCTAATGCGACAGATGTGCCTGGTTTTTTTAGCAAAGTTCTGGGAAGTTGGGTGTAATGTTTGTCAGCTTTAGCCTTTTTCTGCGGACCACCCAAAAGGAGCTCACGGACCAGTGGTGGCCCGCAGACCACAGTTTGAGAACCTCTGCATTAGACCATTTTAACTATTCCTTGTACCACTACCTAACATAAAATATCGTTAGCCACCATTCCTGAGAGCATACTCCAGGGATTTATATCTGTACTTTCGGCTCGTGAGCATAGCCTGGGAATAAACAAATATTTTCTATAGTTAAAGCCTGATGCATTGAGTAATTTGATGAATAGCATCACCTCTCTCTAATGCTCAGTTTACTTTGACATTTTCATGCAGTGATCTTTAGGGGGAGCTCTGATATCTCTGTCCCACATCAGGAAGACCACTAAATAAATGAGAGTACTTCAGTTCCCCTCTGGGTCTAATTGTTGTACGTTGAAATCAGATGCTCACCTTTTCCCCTTACCTTGCTGAGTTTGTTATTCACGTTCTCAGTTTTTCTTTGATTATCAATATCAAAGTACACGTTAAATGGACTAAGGACTGTTTGAACAACCTCAGAGTTGTTGATGAGGAATTGCATTGGAGGAGGGTGTTTTCAACATTTTCATCAGTGACTTGGAAGTTAATGTAAAATCACTGCTGATAAAGGTTTTGGGTGACAAAGATTGATACAGTGATGCATGAAGTGGAGAAGGCAGTCTCTTGGAGTAATCCGGATCGCTTGGTAAACTGGACCTGGTCAAACAAAACACGGTTTTAATACAGCCAAACACTGTCCTTGCCTACAGAACAAAGGACTCTTGTCCTGGAAAGAAGTGGCTGTAGAAAGGAGTTAGGGAAGTATACTGGATCAGCAGCTCACTGTGAGCTCTTGACACCATGCTTTGTCAAAGGTCCTGAGCTGTATAAACATGGGAGTACCCAGTAGGAGCAGGGTGGTACTTCTACCAGATTATGCAGAATAAATAGCTAGACTCTCAAGACAGATGCATTTAAATGAGGAATGTGGTACAGATTTTTAACGCTGAGGACAATTAACCATTAGAACAAGCTACCAAGGGAAATGGTAGATTCTTCATCTCTTGGAATTGATATAGGAGTTTGCTATAGGGGTAATTGGGTGAAACACAAGGGTCTCTGATGTACAGGATGTCAGATGATTTACAGATCATTTGGGCCTGAAACTTGCTGATAGAATCAGAGGACATCTGTGCAATGAGTGGAAAATTTCATACATCTTAACAGAGTATTGAAATCCGAATAGGATCACATTCATGACAATTTTGGGCCTGCTGCTTCACGTATCAGACAACGCAGACTTCCTTGCAGTCTGGTTTGCGTTGTATTGCAAATAACCTACAGAATTTCCAGATCTAAGATGACCTGAGGCCTGTTGGGTTTTTGCACGCTGAAGATTTGGTCATTCAAAGTTACAAGGTACTCATGGTGATGGCTCCCTGCGCAGCTTGTATTAACATCTCGTCTTTCCCACTCAACGCAAAGGACGCCTCCTGCATCATCAGTGCATTTTACTGAATGGGTTCAGTGTTTCTCTTTATTGAAGCTGATGAGGACCCTGCAGAAGAGAGAGCTCTCCTGACATAGTGCTCAAGAGCCTGTTGGGATAACTTTCTTTTTTAAAGACTGCTAGTCTTTCAAACACGCACACTTAATTTCAGTGGAATTTCCCATTTACACTGGGCTCAGTCAGGAGAGAAATGAGCCCTCTACCTCCTAAAGCAGTAAATGGGTTCCTCTCATCTAAAGAACAATTAATCCAACAGGCTTTGGAAGGCAGGTTTGTGAAGTTGTCTGCATTTTGCCAGCCAGTTACAGGAACCTACACACAGCAGTCAGTCGGTCAGAGCTCAGGACAATTAAACTTGTCTGATGGCCCAGAACAGTTTTTTGCATGAACAGAGGGGGCTGCTTTTTTGCTCCCTATATTAAGCAAACCCACTGCACTTGGGCTGAAGAGATTCCTTTGCTTACGGATCCTATCCCTTTTGCTTACAGATCCTATCCCTTCATCTGTCCAGAAGTTCCCTCAGCCGGGCTTATTATCTGTTGGATGTGAAGGTCATATAGGCATGGCGTCAAGTGAAAGGCCACAGGTGTTTTATGTTGTTTACGACCGTCCCATGCTATCCACACATCCACAGCACTTTATCCTCTACATTCTGCCTGGCTTACTCATTTTGAAGGCTTAAGATGCAGTGCATGACTAATGTTGTAAATAATATGGAGATTGCAATAGCACTCTTTGGGAGATCTCAAATTGCCTGAAAGAGTATCCTGATACCCATTTTACAGACCGCTCACAGCAGAACACGCAATATAGACCAGAACTCTATTTGAGAGACATATTGCTAGGTAGCCTGAACACCATTACTGCAGCTTAGACTAAGATCATGTTTGTGCCCATTTCTACTTCTGTACAGGCTCTTTCCAACAAGGATGATTCTGTGCTGGATTTTTTATAAGGTCAAAACAGAAAGCTGCCACACACGTGACTTAGAATCCCCAAATTATTTTCAACTCGTGAAAGAAGAGGCTGTCAAGGATGAGCTAATTTAGCTCTGACAACATTTGCATTGTAGAAAGGTACCCCAATATCCTATTGATCTGTTTTCTCTTTCATTCGCTTCTGAATTGCATTTGCATTCCCAGCTCCCTTTGACCTGAATGGGTACTTGTATTATTGCTATTGTAGGAACTCCAAAGTTTTTCTGTAAAACACCCCTTGAACTTTGCTGTATATGTTCCTGTGTCAGATGCAAATGTTGCTCCTGGGGGTTAACATCAGACATTTACAAAATAATTAGGAAAGGCCCACACTAGTTTCTGCTTTTTGGCTTGCAGAATATTTTAACCATTGCTTAGGCTTAGGAACACAGCATGTTCAATAGTTTATTTTATTTAGAAATCCCAGAACCCTTCACCTGTTTGTATGAGCACTGTTTTAAACATCCCCTTGCTCTCAATCTAAGCCTGAAATTCCTCCTTTTCTCACAACTCCAGAAAAGGAAAAAAAATAGCCAGTTTCACTGGCTTTTATGTTCCATTTCTTATCCTCTAGCACAACCAGTCTCAGCTGCTGGCCAGTGGCAGTGTCGTGAGTGGGTTGCAAGGATGGATATGGGTGAGGCAGGGAAGGTCAACAGAAGGGACCCCTGAATATTCTCACAGCACTAAGCAGTATTACGCTGAGACACCCGACTACCTTCCAAACAAAAAGCAACAGAGCCGCCTTAGTGTGACATTGCGTGGGGAGGTGTAATTAGTTCTCCTTAGAGGCACAGCTGCTTTGCCTAGGCAGGGCGCTGGATGAACATGACTGCTGTGTCCTTTCTGGGTCTAGCACTTAAAGATGGCTTCGGCGTGCAATCCATGATGGAAGTAGGATGTGGAGTTGTGCACAGGATAAGGGAGAGGGGAGCTGCGGGGCTACACTGGGACTGGAGGTGCGCTGCAAGATCAGAAATGGTTGATGGCCATTCCGAAACTGAATCCAAAGGACCTGAAATGGTCCCCAAACCAGGCAATGTTTTTGGGCACATGATTGGTGGGGAGGGGGTAAGGAATTCCCCTTGCCAAAGAGAAAACTGAGGCCGCGTGGTACTGGCCAGTAGGGGTGTGCAAAGCGGGCCCTATTTGGTTCAGATTTGGCCTAAGTCGAGGACAGTGATTTGATTCGTTGATTCGGATCACTGTCCCCAATTTGATTTGGCTGAATCCGAATCTGAAGATTTGATGCTAATTTAGAGAATCAGTGATTCGGGCATAGACACATCTTTAAAAGTTTTTTTCTACATACCTCGAGGTACCAGGCACGGCTCATGATTGTTGGGGTGCATGAAGCATCCCACAGGAGTGCAGGGGGGCCCTCCACGTGCTCGGTGGCAAACCCAGAAGTGGACCAGAAGTACACTTCCACGTCTGCCGGGGAGCACACTGGGGGGGCCCCCCATGCCCCCTCCAACTGTGATCAGCTGCAGGGGGACCCTGGGTGCCCCCCCAGACCCAGGAGGCACCAGTCACTGAGCCAGGGGGTTTCAGGGGGGCTCCCCACACTCCCCAGTGGACCCAGAATTGGACCAGAAGTGCTTCTGGTCCACTTCTGGGCCTCCTGCCGAG